TCTGTACTAATTTAAATGTACCATCAATATCCCAGGACTTGGCCTTGGTGACGGTCGTCAGTTGTTCAACTGTGGCAAATATGAGATGTCTTCTCTCCGTCATGTAAACGTCTGCCTGAAAGAATCCTTCTGGCATGCAGCCCTCCATTAGTTGGAAGTTCAGGTCCTTAGGATTCTCTGGGCAAAGTCTCTGCCGCAGGCAGTTTGTAGCTCGCGCCATATGTTCTGGCATAGGGAGTGCTGGACAGCATTCATCGTTCACCTTACTTAACAAGACCTGGAAAAAAGGAAAGGAAAGTATGTTATGGTGAAGGTGAAGAATCGAAACATTCTATGTTTTAAGTACAAAACCACTAAAGTTCTTGACTACTTTCCTGGCTGTCTAACACTCGAAGTCTCCGAAACTTCTTCCGTTGTGGACTTTCATTGACCATCGTGCCGGTGGAAGCTGAAGTTAAAACATGAACGTTAAATGTTCCTCCAGAAATTTAATTTCCTTGATAGAGAGACTTGAACATTTGACTTTTATCGGCACGAGCGTGCCATAAAATTGTTGTTGAATCACCGAATTGTTGTTGAATCATCATTTCGCTCATCGGGCTCTGAAAGGTTTTCGTACGTTCGTGGCTTGATTTGTCTTCTGTTTAGTGGATTATCACCAGGTTTTGTTTTTGTTTGTCTTTCAGTTAAATACTCGAGATATTCTTTGCCTTTGTAAATTTTTGTTGACGTACTGTGAATGTAGGGGGTGATGTAGTCATCATAGTACATTTCAAGAAAGAGCTTTCCCAACTCCCGCACATATGTTTTAAAGCTCTGAGGCTCAAGGTAGTCTGGATCATTTTATTGAACCTGTAGCGCCTGCATCAAAGCCTTAAAACCCTACAACAAGAAGCAACTGCAGATAACAATTAAACATCAATATTAACTGTCTGTATTAAAAAAGGGTTGCCACTTGACAGAAAATAAAAAAGTTTTCTGCCTTTTCTCCAAAGTTTTACTGGATAGTTGGGGAATTGTTCAATAAAACCGATGCCTGATATTTGCAGGTTAATTCCAAAGAAGTCAATAACAAAAGGTAGATAGAGCTTGTGCTTGCAAGCAACTTACTTTCGACAGATCGTCTATGCCTTCTGCATCTTCGGTACCCACAGCTTCCATAACTTTCTTAATATTGAGTTTCTCCAAAACCTTTCGCAATTCTTTCCGTGATGTTCAAAGAAAATATAAATATTAATAAATAGGAAAATGGTCAAGATAAACTTTTCTCTTCTTGAGTGCATCATAGGTTATAAATGCATACTGAATTTGATTTTGCAGCTATGCCAGCTATGCTATTAACAAATGTAGATATATTGTTAACTTACTAAAGTACCATTTAGACTTCTCCACTTTGTTTTTTTTTCTGCCAGTTTGTTGTACTCTTCATAAAACTTGAATTGTACCTGAATTCTCTCCATTTCTTTTGTCAGAACGTCAGGGCAATCGTTGTTGGCAACAACCTTAACAACCTATATTGAGACAATAAATAACACAACATTAATAAGTGTCTGTTCCCTCATTCAAAAATTTCAAAAGGGTTTGCATGAGAAAATGGCATTTCTTTATATGATGCTTGTAGGTTCACCTGATGGAATAGCAGTCCTATTATTCTTAAAAATAAATGTAATGTATCCACCACAACAAACTCAAAAGGGATGTTAAGAAGCGGAGGCATTGTGCAGCCTTTCCTTGCAGCCGTGGTGGATCGCTGGCACAACCCAGTGCACTCCGATAGCTTTCTTTTGATTGGCCAGTCATCAACTGGAAAATATTCACATAATATATTTCTATTATCGACTTGGTTGTTATTGGCTCTGTGATGAAAATTAAATTAAAATACAAAATTTCAAGTAGAAATTCTCCCTACTTACTATCAAGGTTGTTGATTTGGTCCTTGCAGCAATAACACCAAATACTAAAGTATTTAGAGCTAGCTCCATTTAGTCCATAAAAAAGGGCCAAAAACTTCCAGTCGGAACAATACCTGTTAATAAACAAATTATTAAAAATGAATTAACCAGTAAACACCTTTAAGGTCATTATTTGTTAGCATCTGAGGGTTTTGTTTACCACTCAACATCAAAGTGTTCCCCATCAATTGACATTCCTTCTGCTTTTAAATCATCGATTTCTTGAAAGGTGTGCCCAAGGCAAGCTTTAGTCTTACTTCATAGCCTTCTTTACCTATGGAATGATATTAGACATGATCCACTGACTGTGACATATTTTGAGTACCAGTACAAAATTAATAAGAAAGATTGGCAACTGTTTTATTTTTAACTAATAAAATGTCTCTTAGCATGGCGTCTAACAGTTTATCATAAGTATCGTTGCTCTTATGTGACAGGAATTTAGATGTTAAGATATTAGAATCTCTGCACTTACCGTTGTGCAGTGCCAGAGTATACTGGTATTCGTAAGTTGCTTTATTTTCACACAGAATATTGAACAAAGCCATTGCTATGCCAATCCTTTTGCTTGTCCTCCTCCCATCAGCTGCGAATCGGAGTTTAATTTTTGATCCATCTTTTTTGATGGCATCCTTAACCTCTGGTATTGCGATTAAATACTGCAAAACGTCACGAACACTCCTCCGGGCACCATCAGCTTGTTTGGCCTGCATTTATTTAAAACCAAAAAAAATTAATTATTTTGTAAATTATTATGCTTGCCACAGTCACGCTACAAATTGAACACTACAAATCAAAATAAACTTAATAGTACCAGTGCATACTGTCACTTATGATGCCTGGAAATCATCGTAGGTCGAATATGTGGCCATGATTTTGCCAACAAGCATGGGTGGGAAACTGTCAAAAACAATGCTAAGCTTTTGGATGCTTTTCATCACCATCTCCATCCTCACCTCAACTTTTGATGATAAGGTTTGCTCAGCAAATGCCAATAGATGGGATATGAATGGTTGTGTTCTCTAAAAATCAATTTACCTCCGGGATTTGAATTACTTTGATTTCCTTTTTTGGGACCTCCTTTCCTGTTTGAATGCGGACAGTGGCGGGACGTGACTTCGAACTTTCTCAAGGAACGCCATCCTCAGTTCGTGGTATGCTTTGTCACTTACAAGTCCTTCATCCTTCGCCACCAACATCCTTTGTACGACCTCGTGAGCGTAGCCCTCATGGTCATCGCCGTCATTTGGTCGTCAGATAGTGGGATCACTAATTCACGGCCGCTTACATCAAATTTAACCTGTGTGAAAAAAAAACAAAGAGCATCTAAACAATTACGCTAGAAAATAAGAGACGTCTGCACGAGTAAAATCAGGTAAACTACGTTAATCAACAAAAACATCACAAAAATATATGATCATCTGAGGTCGGCAAGAAGAAAAGAGATGCGGCGATGAGGTTTAAATGTTAAGAACATGTACACAACAGCACAACTGCGACTACGTGTAATGACGCCTGAAAGTCCGCTGAAAGTTATCGATATAGCGTGGGCACACTTCATACGTCACCCTTTCAGCTTGTACAACGATGGCATCATATCAGCTTCTTCATAAAAACTATTTGCGGCAAAGCGAATCGACAGCAAAGAAAAATTTACTTGAGGTTTAACTTAACAGTGTTTTTTTTTTTTAAAGCAGAAGTCGATTATTGCACTTAACTCTGGCAAAATAATAATAACCAAACTGTTTTGTCTTCACCTTATATCGCCTGCATAAAGGTTTATTTCAGATGCTCTCACAAAGATTCTTTGCTGATAGCGTGAAAGGAATAAACAGCGACAGGTCAATATCATACTGAGTAATTACCCAGGAAAATTTCGCAATGATACGTACCTCAATTGGTTTAAATTCTGATGGTAAATTCTCTGCAGTATTTCGGAGGTAGTCTCAGATTTTTTTGCTCTTCAAAGACCGCGTTACCCTATCCACGTCCCAATAGCTTTTGCGGCTGACGTTAAATTTCACGGTGTTCTTTACAGGGTTAACTGCAAGGCGACTTTTGGGCAACTCCGTGTCTTAGAAGCTGAAGTTCCTGGCGAAGCTGGAAAACTTCAGCTCTTCTCTCTGCCAATTCCGCCGCCTGGCCGTTAATGATCATAACATCTTCCATTTTTCCAGCTCGTAGCTGTTCGTTCTCAGCGCGCAGATGGCGAATACGCTGGTCGTACGCCTCAAGGAGTGGCTAAGAGATGGTAGACTACTCTACCTCAAAATGCCTCGGTCCTCGTCTGTAGAGGACGTTTGGCGCCTTCTCTATCTTAAACTTGGAAAACATTTTCAAGAAAACTTTTTTTTTCGACGATCTCTTCTGATGACACGAGCGAAATGATTGTTGTCAAGTGACAATAGCGAAATGATCGTTGTCGAGTGCACGCGTCTTCTATAACCATTTACTCCATTAGCATGGCAACAAGAAAATGAAAATGAGGCCTGAAAAGTTGAGGTTTTACAGTAAGCAGGTTTTAGTACGAGGGTAGGGTTCTTTGAGCGAGATCGGCCATGTATGACAAAAGTAACATATCCACCAATATCTTTGTCGGCATATCCAGAAATACAATTTTTGAGGAAGACAAGATGTCTGAGTTCCCGGCTGTAAGTTAGTGGTAGAAAGCGAAGAGTCAGCAGTTGCTGTTTATGAGATATCTTGCCAATTCTAGTTCTTAGTGTTTCAAGCCTCCAGACTATTTCGAAGATCATTCTCAAATTGACACTAGCAGGAGACCATACCTCTGTCTAATAATAATAATAATTATAATAATGATGATGATAATGATAATAATAATGATGATAATGATAAAAACATTAAATAGTAGTTATAAATAAAATGCAATATTCAATATCTTTTCTCTAAATAAAAATAATAATGATGATAATGATGATGATAATAATAATAATGATGATAATAATAATAATAATAGCCCCTATTGCTAAACGATAAAAGTACATATCTTTGGTTACATTCTATTCGCCTATACATAATAAAAATCTAACCTAAAAATTAAACTCTGAGTTAAACTACAAATCGATGATAAAGTGCTACGTAGAAACTACATTATCTTGTATTTAAAAATCATTCTATTTAAGTAAGATGTCAGAAATGGTTCAGTATTAATCTTGGGAAGGGTACATTGTTTTTTACGCAGATTATATTTATTCTCCTTTGTTGGTGATAAATACGAGCCTAGTAGATGGTTATCTACAGAGGTAATAACCTTTAAAATTTTGCATAGGAGAGCTGTGACTTTACGAGAGATAGATTAAGTGTCCACCTGACTTTGATGTTGGTGATAAGAGGGCAACGTCTCTTTAAGAGAAACAACATTCTATTAGCCTTGAGCACAATGTGCATAATGTGCGAGTCCCACCGTAGATTGCTAGAAATGGTAAGATCTATTTCTTCCTGAACATGTCGTAAGTTTACATCGCTGAGGAGATAATTATGAGTTACAGTAGTTTTCTTTCATGTGACTGTTAACACTTTGCACCCTAACCCTAACCCTAACCCTAACCCTAAACTTAATATTTGTTTCATAGCTCCGGGTGTTCAAACTTGGCAGATCCTGCCCGAGAATATCACAGTCCTTCATTTTTAAAATAGGTGGTGCATTTTGGTATCATCGACATGTGAGGCGGTGCTCGTTTGATGGAGGGTAGCATCAGGAAGGTCATTAATGAATCGCGTCAAGAGAAGTGGGCCAACATGACTGCCCTGGGGTACACCGGAAGTGACCAATAGACGCTCTGAGGCTGTGCTGTCAACCACAACTCTCTGTGATCTGGGTAGTTGGGAAACCAATCTATCAATTGACCTGTGACGCTGCACCATCTCACCTTTTTAAAAAGAATGACATGATCAACGGTGTTGTAAGCCTTGGCAAAAAATATTCGTTTGTTTGTTTTTGTCAAGTGCCTCCCCAGATTGAATGGAGTACAGACAAAAGTTGCGAAGAACACGAAGGGGAACACATGAATCTGTGTTGTAAAGAAGTAATTGATTGTTAGACGTGGTAATAAAGCCTCTTACAGGCGCAGCGTTCCGTAACTTTGCTCACAATTGGAAGCAGTGAGATTGGTCTATAATTTTCGGCTGGCTCCAGAAGAGCTTTTTCATGAACTGAAGTTGACATCACCTGACTTCTAATCAGACGGAAACTGCCCAATACATGGAGAATATTTGAATAGGGCACAAAGACTTGGCGCGATCTACTCGCTGCACTCCTTAAGAGTGCGTCCAGGAATTTCATCGGGGACAGTGGCTCAATACAAATGGGGCACTTGATCTCCCCTCATCTTCCACAGCCGCAATGGCGAGAACATAGGAAATCTGGAGTTTCATGCATCCATGGATAATCCTCATTTATAAACGTGCCACATTTAATAACTTTGTAAATGATCTGTTTATAAAGAGTACTTTTAAAGAGTGGTGATCAAAGAAACCTAATTCTTCAAAATGAAAAACAGTTCACTCAACACAAATATAAATGTGCGCTATATAAACTTAAGGAGATAACTAAAAGGATAACAGTGATGAAAATGTAATAAACAAGAAAGAATTAGTGAGAGCTGACACTGTTTAGTTACGGGATGAAATGATACATGTACTCCACTGCATGATTTTATCAGTTACTATTTTCATACATATATTTATCAGCTGGTCCTCTACAGTCAAGATGACATAGTATTTCTTGTCAGAAGGTCGATTCCATTCTTTACGGCACATATGGAATGAGCATTCCTTTTCGTGGCAAGCCAAGCAAACGTTAGTTACAGTAGTATATTAGATCTAACTTCTGCTTTGAGTTTTTGAAATGAGACTCGAGTTCCCTCTAAGTTTTAATTAAAAACTGTGATTTACAGAGTCTATCCTTACCATCCATCAGCTGTTGACAAAATCAGCGACTTGACATGGGTTAGACAGTCCAGTTCAAAACATCTCCCCTCTATCAGAACATAATCGATTTCTATCATCATTATTTTCTCCAAATAGAAAGTGCATGTATATCTTCATTTGTACCCTAAGTAAGCTGATTGTGTGCAAGCTTGTTTTTATCAACATATTGATTTGAGGTCTCTTCTAAAGAGAGGAAAGTAATTTCAAGATGCTCATTGCTAAGTTGAGGTACAAATCTACAGGCTTCCTTTAAATTGAACCCCTACCTATGATCAATTAAAGTTAAATTTTCTTGTGTGTGTAATTAAAAGACTTAGTTTCCTTAAATAGAAGCAAATGATACTACATTTTTACCTGTTTTAAGAAAAACGAGATAGTGTGAAAAGGATGGGAAGGGTTATGCTACATGTTTTTTTCCTTTGAACCTGGACTTTCTGTTATGGTTCTGGTGGGTTGATGGAGTAGCAATATATCATCTCACTTGGTGTGAATGTTCTCGAGGTTTTTCCTGTTTGGTGTCCTTACCTTTGTGGTTAAGAATTGATATGACAACTGGCGCCTAGGAGCAAAAGAATAATAAATATATTTATAGAAGTCT